TGAAGCTGTCCACCAGGTAACTGGCTCTAGGCCCTCCAGGGAGGTGCAAAGTCAGCCACTGCCTGGGGCCTCCCACATGAACTATTTGTATTACACTTGGAGGTGCCCAGGCGAGGCTCAACTGTAAAGCAAGGCAGGCTTATGCTAGTGCCAGGTCTTGGGCCTTTTATTGATAGGTTTGGGGCTACTTGACTCAGCCGCAGCTTGTTTTAGAGATTTTAGCAAAGTCTAAAGCCTGAGCAAGGACAGGCCATTCATATAAAAAATCAGCTGCAAATAGGTTGGGTGGGGCTGTGAATTGGATGGAGTGGACTCTCAGAGAATCACTAGGGTGGAGCAAACAGCCTTGGCTGCCAGTTATCCCTTTGACCAGGGAGGTCTAAGCACAAGAACAATGCCCCCTGTGAACACCTCTGGAAGAAAACCACCCCAATTCCTGCCCCAATGCCAGACTATCCAGTTCCTCCTCATATGTGTCTGGGTCCCTCAGTCCCTCAGAGGAAGTGGGACCTTGTAAGTTCAGTTTATGCACTGGCCCTTTAAAAGAAAACCCTGCATCTCCAGAAGCCTCCGTGTCACTGAGCCCTAGTCCCTGCTAGTTTCTACAGCCTGAAGTTATGGGGGCTTCTTTTCCCAGCTCTGGAACCCTGGGCTTGGGATCTGGTGTCGATCTGGGACCCCTTGTTCCTCATGGGCAGCCTCCACAGAGACAATCTTCCTTCCAATTGAAAAAATGGCCCATGTGGGTGTTGATCCAACACATTCCAAACTTCTGCCCCTCCTACCAGTCTCAGTGTGCTTTTTTCTTCATTTTTCTAGTTGTAGAACTTCCACTCAGCCAGCTTTCAGAAGGTTTTGACTAATGGTTGTTCTGTATTTTAGTTGTAATTTTGATGTGATTGTGGGAGGTGGGAGTACAGGCGTTTACCTGTACTACCATCTTGGTTCTTTGGCCAGTTCTTGATTTTTCTCTCTCTCCCTCTTCATTCCTCTCTGAAATCAACAAAAAATATATACTTTTAATTAAAATTTTTTTTGCAGTCCTCACCCGAGGATAATTTTCCATTGATTTTTAGAAAGAGGGTAATTCAGAAAGAACTATCATGAGAGAAAAACACATTGATTGGTTGCCTCCTGCATTGAGCCTGGACCAGGGTACATGCCTTTGACCAGAATTGAACCCAGGACCCTTTAGTCTGTAGGCCAATGCTCTATCCACTGAGCCAAATCAGTTGTCTCCTGCATGAGCCTGGACTAGGGCCCAGGCCAGGGAAGAGTCTGCAACTAAGGTACATGCCCTTGACCAGAATTGAACCTAGTACCCTTCAGTCCACAGGCTGATGCTCTATCCACTGAGCCAAACCTGCTAGGGAAAAATATATTTTAAAAAATGCTATTAAGAGAGTCGCAAGCCTTAGAGTCGATGTGTATGGTATGTACAACTAACAAATGGCTGGTGCCCAGAATATATAAAGAACAAGTCCATTTAAAAAATGGACAACCCAATAGAAAATTGGGAAAGACACTTGAACAAGCACATCTTGAAAAAGGATGTCCAAAAGGCTATGAAAAGTGTTCAATGAAAAGTGTTCAATTCTATTACTCATCAGGAAAATGCAAATTAAAACTACAATGAGCTACATCCAACAAAACGGTTAAAATTAAATGTCTAAAATGGCCAAGTGCTGTGGAGCAATGGAAATGCCCTGGAGGGAGAAGAAATTATCACAACTGCCTTGGAAAGCTTTTGGTTGTATCTACTAAACACAAACACACATACATACACACACATATACATATTCTTTTTAAAAAATATATATTTTATTGATTTTTTACAGAGAGGAGAGGAGAGGGATAGAGAGCTAGAAACATCAGTGAGAGAGAGACATCGATCAGCTGCCTCCTGCACACCCCCTACTGGGGATGTGCCCGCAACCAATGTACATGCCCTTGACCGGAATCGAACCTCGGACCTTTCATTCCACAGGCTGACGCTCTATCCACTGAGCCAAACCGGTTTTGGCCACATACACATATTCTATGATCTAGCCAGTCTGGATTTCATACCCAAGAGAAATGTATATATATATATTCACATTATGTTGTGAATGTACTAGAACAAAATATGTACTAGAATGTTAAGAGCAAAAAGCCAACAAGTAGAAACAATTCAAATTCCCATCAATGGGTTTCTGGCAGATGACAGAAATTGCAGTGTACTCCACAATAGACCACTACTCAGCAAAGAGAAGGAATGAATCGCATTTCCATACTCAACCCAGATGAGTTTCACAATCATAATGTTGAGTGAAAAAAGCCAAACACAAGAGTTCATACTGTATAATTCTGTTTACATCATGTGGAAAGTAAGAAAAGGAAGCCCCTGTATTCAGGAAGGCACACTGTTACCTAAGTCAGTAAAATGGGCACCTTCATAGGGAGAGAGAAAGTAGTGCCTGGCAGGAGGCAGAAGGGGCCCACGGGAAGCTGGTAACATTTGCTTCTTCATCTGGGTGCTGGTGACATAAGTGTGTTCCCTTTGTCAAAATTCATTAAGTGGAACATGTATGTTTCAGATACATTTCTGTATGTGTGTCATGTAACAGAAAAAAAGATTCAAATAATGTAAAAATGACTTACTAGCCAGTTTGGCTCAGTGGATAGAGCATCAGCCTGAAGACTGAAGGGTCTGGGTTTGATTCCAGTCAAGGGCACATGCCTGGGTTGCAGGCTTCATTCGCAGCGGGACCCAAATGGGGCGTGTGGGCTGCAACCAATCAGTGATTCTCTCTCATCATTGATGTTTCTCTCTTCCCCTTCTTCTCTGAAATCAATAAAAATATATTTTAAAAATACTTTAAAAATGACTTTAAAAGTAGTTTCACCATAGCCTTATCTTAGAAACTGGACAAAACTACTGTCTTAGGTACACTAAATAATTGGAAGGACTGTTTGTGGTATTTGCTCTGTTTAGCACTGTTCTAAGAGATCTACAGCTCCTATCTTATTTAATCCTCATAACAACCTTTGAGGTAGTTACTATTATTATGTGCATTTAACAGATGGGGACACTGAGGCGTAGTAAGGTATGCTCAAGCGAGATCTAAACACAGGCCATCTAGTCCTACAGTATATGCTCTGCTCACCACAAGAGTCTTCACCGTGAAGAGTGACATAAGAGTCCTGCGGCATAGTTCAGTGGTTGAGCATTGACCTATAAACCAGGAGGTCACAGTTCAATTCCTGGTCAGGGCACATGCTTGTGTTGTGGGCTCCATCCCTGGTGTGGGGTGTGCAGGAAGCAGCCAATTATTGGTTCTCTTTCATCATTGATGTTTCTATCTATCCCTCTCTGAAATCAATAAAAATATATTTTAAAAAAAGAGTGAAATAAGAAATAGGGAAGTGGAAGTATGTTTCTCAAAACACAAAGGTATCTAAAAAGAGAAACTAGAAATCAGTTGATGGTTATTCTGAGAGTAGGGGAGGGGCTATAAGTGAGCGAGGAGCCCTCACCCACCATGATTCCAGTGGGGCCTTTTAACCTGAGAGGTGCATAGAATTCAGTTATGTGAACTTGGATGGGAAAAACAATGACCTCTTTGCTTTCACTACCCTTTAACTTGGAGGTTTTCAAAATGTAGTTTGGAAACCCTGTGAGTCCCCACGTCCCTTTTCGGGGGTTAATGAAATTAAACTATTTCATAATAAGAACTGCTGATGTAATTGCAATTTAGCATGCCTTTCTGCCATGTGGTGGGGAAGTGTGGGGGGAGGGGAAGGGGATGGAGGTGTGTGTGAACAGACCACAGGATTATTAGCAATCTCTAGCTTTGTCTTGAAAAGAGAGCACTTGTTTTCAAATCCCATACAGTCCCTGCAGGACTCTCAAACATCTACACACTCATCAAAACTTCTAAATTAGCATGGTTTGGGACCTGCCACTAGGACTTGAGGTTTAATGCATGAAAAAAAAAGCATATACTATGCTGCTGTACACCTGAAACGAATACAAAATAATATTAATTGAAAACAGTAATTGAAAGTAAAATAAAAAAGAAGCATATAATTCAACTATAGTTCAATGAGGAATAAGTTCAAATATAAAATCTCAAAAGAGAAGGAATCACATGTACTACTGTATCACATATTTGTTTAAAAAATACTTGTACATCTATAAACAGTATTTGTACATTTGTACTTTCGCTGCTGCTCGAGGAACCCTCAAGCATCCTTTGTGGCAAGCCACCCACAGCCTTCCAACAGAGCACAGAGGTTTACAAAGTCTCACTTGCTTCCTCTGAGACCGCAGGGCAATGTCTGGAGTTCATGCATTCATACAGAAATAACCGCTGATTCTTATCCAGCCCTCACTCTGGGCCAGGCTGCATTCTTAGCATGAAATTTCATGTGGCAACTAGTTTAATCCTCACAACAGCCAATAGGGTACGGAGACACCCCCGTCCCCGTACCCCCCCCCCAACCCCCCCCACCAGTGTGGTTCAGAGGTTTGATTCCCGCTCAGGGCACATGCCTGGGCTGCGGGCTGGATCCCCAGTAGGGGGCGTGCAGGAGGCAGCCCATAAATGATTCCCTCTCATCATTGATGTTTCTATCTCTCCTAAGTCAATAAAAATCAATATATTTAAAAAAAAGAATTCGAGGCCCATGGACGTCGAGTAACCAGCCCCAGGCTCAGAAGCAGCCCGGGCTGGTGCGGAATCCGGGGGCTTAGTCGGCGGAGGGGGAAGAGGAAGATGAAGGTGCGGACGGGAAGGGGATCCTACGGCCCCGGGCGCGGGCGCAGGTGCCGGCATACCTGGGCGCCGAGGGGTCCGTCCGCGGCGCGGGGGAGTCGGGTCCGCATCCCGGGCTCCGCGGCCGCGGGCGGGGCGGGGACCCGCGCAGCCTTCCCCGTCCGGGCGCTCCCCGAGGCCGCTCGGAGGCGGCGGCGGCGGCCCCAACCTTTCTGGGTCTCCTTCTCACGCCCCGCCCCAGGGGAGGGGGGTGGTGGGCGTGGGACTCCCGGACCGGCCGGACCTGTGGGACCCGGGGCCCTAGCTGTCTGCGGAGCCCGTCACCGGGGCCGGCAGGCTCTTCCGGGGCCGGACGGCGGCGGTGTGGGCGGCGGGAGGCCTCTGCGAACCCATAAATACCGGGCGCGCCGGGGCCGAGACGCGCGTGCGGCCGACGGCGCCCTCGAGGGTGAGCCGGGTCCCGGAGGGCGCCCCGCCCCAGCCCCCCGCCCGGCTCTGCCCCGGCAGGTCCCGGGGGAGCTGGGACCCAACTGGAGCCCCCGGGAGGGCTGCGGAGAGGGGGGTGGGTATAAGGTGGAGTGGGAGGGCGGGGCCGGGGGTCCCAAAGGCAGGATGGGGTGCTGTGGGGGGGATGGCAGAAGGGCCGGGGCCGCTCCAGGTAGGATGGACTTCTGAGGGATCTGGGGATGGAATGGAGAATTCAGGTCACTAAGACCAAAACAGAAGGCTGGAGGATGGAGTCAAGTGATGAGGTCCCCGAGGGCAGGGCGGAATGCTAGGGATGTGGGGAATCAGGTAGAAGAACCTGGGGTTACTAAAAGCGGAATGGAATCCTGCGGGTGGGGTTGCCAAAGGGAACTCCTACTTGAGCTCCCCTTCTCCCCACCCCCACCCCCCACTCCAAAGCTCTTGTGCTGAGAGTGAGCTGTGGTTCAGGGCCAGGGCTCCTGGGTTCCGATCCGGGCTCCATCACCTCCTAGCTGTGCAGCTGAATCACCGGGCTGCTCATTTTCCTCAGCTGTGATATGGCTGTTGATCACAGAGGCCAGCACACGGAGGAATGCTGCGAGGCTCCCAGGAGTTAGTTAATCTATGCAAAGTGCTAGGCACCGGGCGAGGAAGCTCTGATTGCGTTGGCTGCTGGGTAGTGATCATCTTTCTGTTTGCTCTCCAGCATCTGGATGACCGTCCCCCTGAAGACCTCCCTTCCGGCCTGCCTCACTTCCAGGGACACTGCCTGACCCCCTCCATTCTTCATCCTCCCAGCCCCTCCTACTGTCCCCAACGGAGTCTGATCTGCTACGGCCGCCATCCCTTCCCCGTCTCGGCCCCCTCCGCCACCACCATGCGCCCCTCTCTCCGCTGCTGGTCCTGCTGTTGTCTGCTCCTGTTGTTCTCCCTGGGAGTCCAGGGGGCCCCAAAGGACCCCAGTGCTGCCCCGGAGCAAGTCCACCTGTCGTACCCAGGTAAGTGTCTGTGACCCCTCCCAGGACACTGCCCAGTGAGGCCCATTGGGAGGGGGGCTCAGGAATCACACACTGATGGCCGTGAGACCGGAGCCTGGTGGCTGGCCTTCCTGAGCCTCAGCTGTCTGCCTCTGTTAGTGGGGATTACCAGCAGTGGCTCATCGGGCTGGTGGGAGATGATTCTGGTGCCCAGCTATAGTAAGTGCCCCCAAGAGGGGTTGCTATTGCTCTTGTTCATTGTGTCCCCACAAGGCTGTCTCCTGCTCCTTGATCACCAGGTGGTGGTGCACTGGTAGTAAGGTCTTGGGCCATGGACCCTTTGCATACAGATTCCCTGGGCTTGAATCCCAGTTTTGCTACCTAGCTGCTGTGTGACCCTGGGCAAGCGACTTAATTTCTCTGGACAATAGAATAGCAGTAGTGTGACCTCAGAGTGAGGAATAGGTGAGATGTTACCTGTGACATGGCAAAAAGAAGAAACAAACAAAAACAAAGCTTGGTGTGTAGCAGAGGTTCTCACATGTGTTTATCTCAGCACAGCTACAATTCTTGAGAACCTCAAAGAGCTTTAGTTTATGTGAGTTATATCTATAGCATTTGCCGTATTAGAAACCCAAGCTGAGGCATTTAGTAATACTTATTGTCATTTAAGTGAATAGTAATAAACCCATCTGCATTAAGGTAATGACATTTTTCATGAAAAATGACTACACTTTACAAAGGAAGGAAATCTAGTGAAAAGAGTGCCATTGAGTTACATCTGTTTAAGTCACTTTAATGCCTGGAGAAGTTTGATCCTCCTCACATCTGCTTCTGGTTCAGACTGTTTTGATAACATGCTGCTTTGGAAGATATCTATGAAGAAAATTTGGTCTCACGCAGACATGTGGTTGAAACAGAGAAGAGAATTTAAACTCCTTAAAAGGAGTTTCAAATAATTGGGGCTATTCCTTTTTTTGCACCAAAACTCAACTCACCCTTCCTTTGTTCCTTCCTTTCCTATTTTCCTCCCTTCCTTCCTAATTATGGTAGCTTTTTATTTTGAAATATTTCTAGACTTACAGAGAGTCGCAAAGATGGCACACTTTTCATACATCTTTCACCCAGCTTCCCTTCCCTAAAATGTTAATTTCTTCTGTGTCCATGGTACCTGTATCAAGCTAAGAACTTAACATTGGTATCACATTACTAACTAAACCATGGATTTTATTTTTTTTAATATTTCACCAGCTTTTCCACTAATGCCTTAATTCTAATCCAGGGTCCATTGCAGGATCCCACGTTGCATCTAGCTGCCATGTCTCTAGTCCCCTCCTCTCTGGGACACTTCCTCAATTTTTCCTTGTTTTCTGTGACCATGACACTTTTAAGGAAAATAGTTTCTTAAAGATTAGTTGCAATGTGGAATCTGAAACTGCATGAATGAACTGGCTTTGGCATTTGTTGATCCAGTGACCTTGGACAAGACACTTTGCCTGGAGACCTCTGAGATAAAAGGAACAACAGTAAAATCCATCTCACGGAGCTGCTATGAAAACCCAGAGATCACAGCTGTCCTTTTGCCCACAAAATGACAGTAGTCAACATACTCTTTGACTAAGTGCATCAGAAGGATAACTCAATTGACCTCATTTGGGCCGTAAGCTATAGGTACTATTGTTATTCCCATTATACAAAAGAGTAAACTGAGGCTCATGGAGATGAAGAGTCTGACCCTAAGTCACACAGTCTGGGATTTGAACCTAAGCAACTCAAGAGCCATGGTATTTGTTTTAAGACTTTATATTTTGTACTTATTTTAGATTTAACAGGAAATTTGCACAAATATGACAGAGTTTCTATATCCTCCTTCACCCAATCTCTCCTAATGTTAACATTTTACGTAACCATGGCACTATTTTTTCAAACTACATTTTTATTGATTTCAGAGATGAAGGGAGAGAGAGAGAAAGAGATAGAAACATCAATGATGAGAGAGAATCATTGATAGGCTGCCTCCTGCACACCCTGCACTAGGGATCAGGCCCACAACCTGGGCATGTGCCCTGACTGGGAATCGAACCGTGACTTCCTGGTTCATAGGTCAACGCTCAACCACTGAGTCATGCTGGCCGGGCTGGCATTATTATTAATACCAATTACTTTGGTGCAATGCTATTAATTAAACTACAGATCTTGTTTGGAATTCAGCAGTTCTTTCCACTGATTTCGTTATTTGACATTTAGTTGTTGTGTCTCCTTACTATCCCCCAATCTCCCGTTTCTCAGTCTTTCCTTACCTTCCATTATTTTTTGACATTTTTGAATACTGAGCAGTTATTTTGTAGGACATCGTTCACTTTGTGTTTGTCTGATATGTTCTCATGATTGGAGCTAAGTTATGTGTTTTTGTGGCAAATGACCAAGGTGTAATGTTGTGTCCTTAATGCATGATGGCTTATTGCTGTTCCTGGTGATGCTGACTGTCACTGCTTAGTCCTTGGGTTTCTCTGTTGTAAAGTTTTTATTCTTTCCTTTGTTGTTAATAAAAATCTTGGGGAAGATTCCTTAAAACTACAAAGTCATATTTCTTTTCAAACCTGTCCACTAATATTAGTATTTATCATGAATCTTGTCTGAAACAATTATTAGCATGATATTCACCTAATTGTGATTTTGTAATCTTCTAATTCTCTCTTTTCATCTAATTGAAATTCTATTCTAAGGAAAGGCTGTCCTTCCCTCCTCCATTTATTTATTTATTCAATCATTTCTTTATATCAGTATAGACTCATGAATACTTATTTTATTCCATGGCTTAAAATTCTGTACTATCGCTATTTATTTTGTGGATTATCCCTGATTTGATCTTTTGCAATTGGACAAAAAAAACCAAAAAAAACCACACACACCAATTTGGTCTTTGCAGTTGGACAAATCAAATTGTCCCTGATTTGGTCTTTTGCAATTCCTTCAGATTGGCCTCTGTGTTCTTTTATTTTCATTTTATTTTTATTTTTGTTAATCGTCGTCACTCAAGGCTTTTTTTTCCCATTGAATTTTAGAGAGAGTGGAAGGGAGGATGGGGGAAGAGAGAGAGAGAGAGAAAGAGAGAGAGAGAGAGAGAGAGAGAGAGAGAGAGAGAGAGGGAGAAATTGGTGTGAGAGAGGCACATCGATCGATTGGTTGCTTCCTGAACGTGTCCCGAGTGGGCTAGGGATCGAACCTGCAGCCCAGGTATGTGCCCTAGACCGGGAATCAAACCTGTAATCCTTTGGTGCTCAGACCGATGCTCTGACGACTGAGCAACGCTGGCCAGGGCAGCTTCTGTTTTCTTTTCACAAGACTCCTTCATTTTTTGAGCACTTCTTCCCTCTCTGGCACCTCTTCTGTATATTTCCTGCCCATCGCTATAATCAACAATGTCTCCAAAGAGCCCTGATTCCTTCCTTTGAAGGATGGGTAATTAGAAATCAAGTTCTGAGCACTAGCTGTGCTCATTGCCACTGAGTTCCTCCGTGATTGTCTCTAGTTCCTCACAAATGAAGCTCGGCCATACATGTGGGTGTGCTTATTAGCACATGCCATGTCTCTATTTCTGTATCTATCTGTGTATTTATTATGCCGTGGGATATACTGATACTTCTGATCTGAGTCCAACACCAAAGGTTTATTTTTCCTTCTTTCCTTGATTGTAACTTCTTCCTCCAACCCTGAGAACCATAGCTCCCACTATCTGCGTACACTTGCTGGTTCAGTGCTAGTATAGACATGAAGTCAAAATTGTTTGCCCAAATGCCTGTGAGAACTCTTACTGGATGGCGGCACTTATGCAGTCCTTTTTCTCTGTCATCTTACTGCCCAGTCAAGACCTATTTCCTACAGTCACCTTTCTTCCCCCGCCCTTCAGAGTGGTTACTTTATTCATTTTTAAATATAGTTACATCCATTTGTTAGTGTTTATATTACACACTAGCTTCTCCCTACATCCTGGGTAATTTTGTTAGTTTACTTTTAGGGTATATGAAGGAGAGATGAAACATGCTATAGCTTCTAAGAATTCAGAATTTTTATGCAAAAAAGATAGATCAGAGAGGCATCCTCCCTCTTCATTCCAGCTTCCCCAGTTCTCCTTTCTCCTACCCCTTTCTTTCTCATCCACCCCAGGTAAGTAATCCATCGCTTTAGTTTCTAGTATATCCTCCTTGTATTTTCTTTGTACAAAAGAGCATATCATTGTGTATTGTCTTATATCTTCTTCCATGAAGAGTAGCTGACTATACTCTTGTATACTTTGCTTTTTAATTTAACTGTATGTCCTGCCATCATTCCATACCCTAGAGTTCCCAGAGCTTGTCCTCTTCCTTTTGACAGCTGCACAGTGCTCCACGTGCCCATGCGGTAGGGTTTATTCAGTCACTCTCCTACGTGTGGGCCTTTCAGTTGTTTCTGGTGCACTGTGCTTGCACACAGTGTGGCAATCAGTCACCTTGTGCGAGTGCATTTTCATGGTGCTGGTGAAGCTTTACCATTGCTGTTGTGACATGAGGGGACAGGGAACCAGATGGGAGGTGAACACTTCACATTACGCTGTACCTCAGGATATTTTTAAAACCTTGATTTGGTTGCTCATGTTTAAGAATTTGGAACAATCACTTAAAAGTCTGGATTTGTATATCTATCTATATATACTCGGGACATAAAAACCACAGTACAAAAATTTACTCTAAAAACTGACAGGTCTGGTGGCTCTGGGCCTGCTTGTTGCATGGCAGGTGTCCCCAGAACTGATCGACGGCTGCATCCCCAGAGCTGAGCGATGGCTGTCCTTCTTAGATGGGCAGGGTCTGCAGTTTGCCACCCCTCCCCCAACTCCGTACTGTCTTGCACGTGACAGCTGGCCTTTTCCCCACTTATTTTACCTAGCTGGCCTCTGGCCATCTGAGTTTTTAACCCCTAAGTGATATTATGTATGTAAGATGTTTGGCACAAGGCCTGCACAGAGTAAATAATAATAATAATAATAATAGTAATAGTAATAGTAATATCCATTCACTCATATAACCCTAAGCATGCTAGGCACTGTTTCAAATGCTTTACTTATGTTTATTAATTTACGCCTCATAACAACCCTGTGGAATAGGTACTATTATTATTCCATTTGACAGATAAGGAAACGGGCTCAGAGAGGCAGAGACTTGCCCAAGGAAAGCACAGCTTGGAAATGGCAGAGTTGGGATTGAATTTAGAAAGTGCCACGACCTCTGTCCTTAACCATGGAGTCTTCAGGAGCTGTTAATCCTTGTCCGCTGCTCTCTCTCCCTGCCCTGCCCGGCCTCACTGCCCGCCCCTCTCTGTTCCTTCCTGCCCAGGGGAGCCGGGCTCCATGACTGTCACCTGGACCACGTGGGTTCCCACCCGCTCTGAAGTGCAGTTCGGGCTGCAGCTATCCGGGCCCCTGCCCTTCCGGGCCCAGGGCAGCGTCAGCCCCTTTGTGGACGGGGGCTTCCTCCGGCGCAAGCTCTACATACACCGCGTCACGCTGCGGGGGCTGCTGCCGGGGGTCCAGTACGGTGAGCGGGGCCGGCCGGTGTGGAGGAGGGAACCGGAAGGGAGTGGGACATGGATTAGAAGCTGCCGCTGGCAGGTGCTCAGAGACACTGAATGAAAATGAAGGCGCTGAGGTCCTGGGGTGAATTGGACAGAGGGGCATGGGTCAGACTCACTCAACCCCACTGCCTCCTCCCTCTGCCAGCTGAGGATGGCGGGGTGGAGGAGGCAGCTGAGGATGGCGGGGTGGAGGCAGCTGAGGATGGCGGGGGCGGAGGAGACACACGGAGCCCCAGCTGACGGTGACCTCCCCTCCCCAGTGTACCGCTGCGGCAGCGCCCAGGGCTGGAGCCGCCGGTTCCGCTTCAGGGCCCTCAGGAACGGGCCCCACTGGAGCCCCCTGCTGGCGGTATTTGGAGACCTGGGTGCTGACAACCCGAGGGCCCTCCCCCGGCTGCGCAGGGACACCCAGCAGGGCATGTACGACGCTGTTCTCCATGTGGGTGAGGCATTGGCAAGGGTGCGCCTGGAGGAGTGGGGAGGGGTGGGAAACGTGGGGGGAGGCGACGCCAGGACTGCGGAGGGGCTGGGGCAAGGGCCTGCGTGGTCCTGAGGGGACGGGGATGAGGCTGGCCCTGGAGATGGTGTCTGACTGCCGGACTTACCAGGCTAAAGTCCAACTCCCACCTTAGAGCTACCTGCACGGTTTTCTCCTCTGTTATTACCGGACTAAGACGCTCAGAATTCATGGGACTGTTGTGGTGGCTAAATAAGGTGGCATTGCCCGGCACATAAGTGCTAGTTATTGTCATGCTGTGTGACGTGAGGGACAGAGCCAGGTGGGAGGTGACGCCTGGGGCTGGTGTGGCTCGAAGCCAGACTCAGTGGCCTCCTGGGTCTTCACTAGCCCGCTCTGTGACCTTGGTGAGTGCTTAACCTCTCCGGCCTGGCTTCCCCACCTGAAATGGGATAATAACACCCGATTCAGAGGGTGTTTTAAAGACTCTGATGACCAAGCATGGAGCCTTTGGGACGGTGCCTGGCGTAAAACCAGTACGGACTACATCCGCGGCGGTGTTCTGGAGGCACAGGATGGCCAGGGCTGCTGTGATCAGCGCGGGAGACTGGCCCGGTCCCGTGGGGTCTCAGGGGCCGGAGGTTCGGAAACACTTCAAGTGCACACGTGGGTGGTGTGAGGCGGGGCCAGAGAACCGGGCGGGCTCAGGGGCCAGAGGTTGCCCAGCCCACACCTGAGCAACCAGGCTCTCAGTTCGGAGGAAGCAGAGCTAGTTCTGGTCCTCACTGCCCCTCCCCCCGGCCCCCTCCCCAGGAGACTTTGCCTACAACATGGACCAGGACAACGCTCGTGTGGGTGACGAGTTCATGCGTCTCATCGAGCCGGTGGCCGCCAGCCTCCCGTACATGACCTGCCCGGGGAATCACGAGGAGCGCTAGTGAGGGCCGGGGCTCCGGGTGGGCGTGGGCCTGGCCAATGGGAACAGACAGGTCCCGGTTAGCGTCTCACCTGAGTCCCTCACGCTGCAGCAGCTCCTTTGTGGTCCTGAGAGGAGAGGCGGGAGGGTCTGGGAGCCAGACTTGATCTCAGGGTCCTCAGGGGACGGGTGGGCATGGCACCCAGACCCTCCCCCCATCCTTTTACTTCCTTTTTTCAGCAACTTCTCTAACTACAAGGCTCGCTTCAGCATGCCCGGGAACAACGAGGGCCTGTGGTACAGGTAACCTGGGGGGTGGGGGGGAGAGAAGGGGCGAAGGGGAGGGCACTGGGGACTGACCTCACTGCCCTGAAGGATGGGAGATGTAGCCCAGACCCTATCTCTGATCTCTGCCTGTTGACCCCTCAGCTGGGATCTGGGCCCTGCGCACATCATCTCCTTCTCTACCGAAGTTTATTTCTACCTCCACTACGGCCGCCACCTGGTAGAGAGGCAGTTTCACTGGCTGGAGAGCGACCTCCAGGTAATGGGGTGGAGGTCCCTGTCACCTCTTGGACCTGCCTCCCCTCCCCTCCTACTGCCACCTCTCACCCTGGCCCTTCTTCCTAGAAAGCCAACAAGAACCGGGCCGCCCGGCCGTGGATCATCACCATGGGCCATCGGCCCATGTACTGCTCCAACGCGGATGTGGATGACTGCACGTGGCATGAAAGCAAGGTGAGGACCCCTCCCGGGCAGGGTGTGAGAGCCGGGAGGGGGTCCGCCCTGATCACCCACCCCCCACTCTGCTCCTCCTGCCCAGGTTCGAAAAGGCCTCTTCGGCAAGTTGTTTGGATTGGAGGATCTTTTCTACAAGTACGGTAAGTGACTGGGGGGTTGGGGTGGAAATGCTCTGGCCCCAGTCACTTGGATGCAGGGGCCTGACTCCCCAGTCCCACCCTCACTCTGTCTCAGGGGTCGACCTGCAGCTGTGGGCTCATGAGCACTCGTACGAACGGCTGTGGCCAATTTACAACTACCAGGTGAGGTCCAGGGAGGGCTGAGGGCTGCTGTCAACGGACCCTACTCAGACCCTCTGGCCTGGCCTGGTCTGACTCACCCCTCTCCCTTGTCCCCTTCTCCAGGTATTTAACGGCAGCCAAGAGATGCCCTACACCAACCCTCGAGGCCCTGTCCACATCATCACAGGATCAGCTGTGAGCAGGGCGGCAAAGGGTGCCTCTGGCTTCTCTCCTCTTGCTCTTTGTGGAGGGTCGAACTTGTACCAGCCAGGGTGCTGCGTGCTTCATACAGTCACTATCACTAACTCAACCTAGCAACATGCTCACCGTACAGATGTGCAAACAGAGGCTCAGACAGTAAAATACTCATTGACAGTCACAAGTTCAATAGGTGGCAGGGGCTAGGCGCTTGCCCAGGTTGACTGGATAGATCCACACATATTTGTTTTAGTCTCTCTGTATGTATACATGTGTATATATGCACATATATACATTTTATTATTTTAAGATCCAGTGAAGAATAAGTTTCAGAAATTATGCCTCTGTCCCTCTCTGTCTGTCTTTCCTAGAAAACAAGAACATTATCTTATCTCTTATCATTACCGTGTAATAATCAAACTCAAGTAGTTAACCTTGATAATATACTATTACTATCTGATCCACAGATCTTACTCAGATTTAGCCATTTGCCCCATTCCTATCCTTTAAATCAAAGCAGAGAATTTTTCTGGCCCAGGATCTAGTTCAAAATCACATGTTCTATTTCGGTGTCTTGCCTTTTTAGCTTCCTTTCATTGGAAACATTTCCCTACACTGTCTTCATTTTTTGTGACCTTGAAAAACTTAAAGAGTATAGCAAAATCATTTTGTAGAATATACCTCAGCCTGGGTTTGTTTGATGTTTGCTCTGGTAGATGGAGGTTAATGCCTTTTTGATAAGAATACACAAAAGTGATACCTTGCTCTCAGGGCATCCTCCTAGGAGCTCGTGGTATCTCTTTAACTCTTTAAGCCTTAGTTTCCCATCTTGTAGATGTGGTAGGGAACTGTCTCATTACTGAGGATGTTCACTCTGATCATTTTGTTAAGGTGTTGAGGCCAAGCAAATATCATGTTATACCTCAAACTTTCACCACTAGTTTTACCATCTCCTGGTAATTCTTGCTTCAGTCAGTTATTATAATGATGGCTGCAAATGGTCATTTTTTTGAGCTCCCTCACTCACTTGGCATATTCTACTGTAAGAACGAGCATCCCTTTTGGCAAGTTTAAAAAGCTTTCTTGGAGTGTCTGTTGCTCAGTGAGGATTGAGAGCCTTCAATTTCTTCTGCTTTGCCATTGCATTTTCCCTTTAATGACACATCCTGGCCCCTCTCTGTATCACCCTGCTTTGTAACGGTTGGGCTGCAATGTACTTCACTGAGCACTTGGTGGCTTCCAGCTCGGGGCCGTGGCAGAAAATGCTGCGTTGGAAGAGTCATAGCTGTGCACTTTCTAGAAGACCTGGCACAGGGTGCCTGGCTGGGTCGCAACACTCACTTGTGAGCATTGTTGATGTCAAGTTCTGACTGACTTTCTCTCCACTGGGGGCAGCAGGGTCCTGGCCTGGCAGGTTGTTTCCTCTCCTCTGCGGTCCTCTGCGCCCGGCCGGCCCCGGTCTGAACAGCTGTCCTTGCAGGGCTGTGAGGAGCGGCTGACCCGCTTCACCCTCTTCCCGCGGCCTTGGAGCGCCGTGCGAGTGAAGGAGTACGGGTACACGCGGCTACACATCCTCAATGGGACCCACGTCCACGTCCAGCAGGTGTCCGATGACCAGGTCAGTGAGGGGTGCCTGAGCCACCATCCTGAGCAGCCGGCGCAGCGTGCTCGGAGCTGAGAACTCTCGAGCCAGGAAGCTTGGGTTCAGATCTTACCTCTGCTGCTTCCAGCCAGCTGACCTCCAGGAATTTAACTTTGAGGCACAGGTTTCACATCTACCAGATGGGGATGTTTAAGAGTTTCTGCCTCACGGGATGATATGGGGTTAGTGACTTATTATATATAAAGTACTTAAAACAGCTTTTAAAACATGGTAAATTCTACAGCTATTTATCAACATGAAGCAGGGAAAGAAAAAGACAGGTGCTGGGAGGAGGGTAAGGGGAGCCAGTACCATGTGTGTGTGGTCCAAATGGCTTAAGGTTAGATTACCCAAGTAAGCATGCCCACGTTTCTTTATTTTTGTTACTATAATTGTAAAATAATGATAATCACTGTGATTTGTTGAGTACCTATTGTGTACCAGATGCTCCACACTGTAGCACTTTAGTCTCAACAATCCCATGGGGAGGACTTTTTTCCATTTTACAGATGAGAGAACTGAGGCTCAGAGAGAGAAGTAATTTTCACCCAGCCGGAGGGTGGCAGAACTGGGGTCTGACCCTAAAGGCCGTGCTCTTTTTATGACACGTAACTACCATTTCATGAGTGGCACACACACCAGGGCAGGCTGTTGTGCGTATTACTTTTTTTTTTTAATATATATTTTATTAATTTTTTACAGAGAGGAAGAGAGAGGGATAGAGAGTTAGAAACATCGATGAGAGAGAATCATTGATCAGCTGCCTCTTGCACTCCCCCCACTGGGGATGTGCCTGCAACCAAGGTACATGCCCTTGACCGGAATTGAACCCGGGACCTTTCAGTCCACAGGCCGACGCTCTATCCACTGAGCCAAACCGGTTTCGGCTACTTTTTTCTGTCCTCCCTAGTTCCGTGGTCAGCAAACTCAGCTCTTGAGCCACATGTGGTTCTTTGGCCCCTTGAGTGTGGCTCTTCCACAAAATACCACAGCCTGGGAGGGTCTATTTTGAAGAAGTGGCATTAGAAGAAGTTTAACTTTAAAAATGTGGCTCTCAAAAGAATTTCAATCGCCGTACTGCTGATATTTGGCTCTGTTGACTAATGAGTTTGCCAACCACTGCCCTGGTTTATAGAACATGGAGATTCGGCTCAGAGTCAGGCCACACGCAGAGTGGCTGCGCTGGGACTGAAGTGAGGTTTGTCTGACTCCCGGGCTTGCTCTCTAACAGCAATAGCCTGCATTTACACAGCCCTTTCCAAGTCTCCCTTCATTCCCACCCCATCAGCAAGGCAGGTACTATTACGATCATTTTTGCAGATAAGGAAGTGGAGGCTCAGAGAGATCTAGCAAATTGCCCAAGGTCACACAGCACATCGGATGCAAAGCTGGCATTTGAACCCAGCGACCTGGCTCCAGAGTCTAGGCCTTCAGTCCTTATGTCCTCTGTTTTTGTTACTTGCAGGATGGAAAGATTGTGGATGATGTGTGGGTGGTGAGGCCCCTGCTCCACCGGATGATGTACCTCTAGGGATGGGCCACTCCGAGCCTTGAGGCCTTGGCTTATGTAACCGGACGCTACGCACGCCCGGCTGGGGAGTCAGGGCAGGCCCGACTCCTCTGCCTTCCTGAGAGCCCATGTGGATGAATGCAGCGCCGAGGGGCTGGGCAGCTCTCCCCTCCTGGAGAGGTGGGGAGTCCCCAGCGGCTGTGTTCGAAGGGCAGTTGTGGACACAGACAGACTCAGACGCACAGGAGGGTGGCACAGCCCTGCCACTGCCGCCCAGCACCGACGGGCGGGTGCCCGCAGGGCCTCAGGAATAAAGAAGCTCATGGCTGTGTCTCCTTGGACTCTGCACTTCTGCTGGGGATGCCCTCCAGGGCACACCTCTCCTGCCTGCAGGGGTTGGGGGGCGAGAGGCGTGGCCAGCCCCAAGTCTGAAAGGTGGGCCCAGCCATCAGGATACCACTCTCCAGCAGGTGGCGACGGTGACTCCCCCTGCCCCCCAGGCCTGCCCTCAGTGCACCCATAGCCAGAAAGGGCTAATGACTGTCTTTTTGTGTCACAGTCCCCCAGTCTGGTAATGGCTTATCCTGGAAGCCTTCCAGCTGGGGTGGCTGACAGCCTTAGGTGCTCACTGACCTGCTGCTTCCCTCCCCTTTTCCTCCTTCCCATTTTGTTTCCCTTCTTCCTGTCATTTATTCGACCATTATTTATTGAGCACTTACCATGTGCCAGACTCTGTTCTCCATCCTGAGGACAAGGGGTCTCTGCCCTCGTGACATTCTATCCCGTGAAAGACAGCAAACCCAATAAATAAGTAAAATATGTAATGGTGTCGCTATTCAGTGACAAGTGCTCAGAAACAGCAGGGAAGAGGGATGGAGAGTAGGGGAGGGAGTGAGGCAGGAGCCACCTGGGCCGTGTTCCAGGCAGAGAAGCAGCCACAAGGCCCTGAGACACAAACGTGCCTGCCCTGTCAGAGGACCAGTGGGGAAGCCAGTGTGTCTGGAGCAGAGAGGATGAGGGGGGACGAGGTAGTGAGTGATGGGGCGGACGGGGCGGGGCCTGTGGGCCACAGGGAGGACTTCCTCCTTTACCCTGAATGAGATGGAGTCATGGGCGGGCTCTGAGCCGCTGGTGAAGTGCTCTGACTCCCGCAGTCCTTGGCAAAGGCTGAGGCTCTCCGGAGGGTGTCTGGTGACTCCCAGTTCTGCAGTCTAACCTCACATCTGTCCTTCCACTGCGCTCACACGTCAGCCTCCTCACATCCTATCCCTTCCCCCGCATCCAGCCCAGAGCACACTGGCTCCTGGCAGTGTCTTTCTTCTTTAAAAACTTTGTTCTTACTGTTGACACTATTAATCTGTCCCCACCCCCGCCCCACTTTGCCCACCTCCACCCAGCCCCAGCCCCCCTTTCCTCTAGCCATGACCTCACTGCTGTCTGTGTCTGTGGCGATAATTATGTTCTTTAGCTAATCCCTTCACCTTTTTCATCCAGTCCCTCCCATCCCCCACCCCGCCCTCTGACAGCGGAGGGTCTGCTCCATGTCCCCGCCTCTGTTTCTATTTCCTCCCACTTCACCTTGAGCGCACACAGCGCTGCTTCCCCATGGGGCCGGGGCACGGGATCTCTGCTCTCCGAGTGCCCTCCCCCCAGCTCATCCAGGCTGGCACCTCTGAGGCCTCCAGTCACAGCCTTCCCTGACAACCAGTTAGCATGCCCACGCCCACTCTGCCCCGCCCTGTGTACTTCATTCCCAGCTCCAGCATTCTACGGTTCTCCCATTGATTTGTTACCAGATCATTGTCAATCCGCCCTGCTGGGCTGGGGGTCTGTGAGGGCAAGACCAAGACATCTTGTTCATTCCTGGGTCTTTCACTCCATCAGCCTCTCCCAGACCCCTGACACCCCCACTTCAACCCTGCCCTTTCTGGGCTGACACTGTCTGGGGGTGGACTATCAGCCAGGAGGGTGGTGTCCAGGCTCAAACCAGCCCAGCCCGCCCAGCACAAGACAGATGCTTAATAAATATTTGTTGCCTTAACGAAGGCTGCCACGTACCAGATGCCAGGCAATGCTGGGACGGGACAGCAATGAATCAGCCGGTCGGGCCTGGCATGATCTGTGTGCTGAGTGAGGCTGTGAGCACGCCCAGGCGATGGGGCCCTCAAAGAGCGAGGGCCTGGCGCGGAGCCAGACAGAGACCCTGCAAATCTCAGCTCTGCCACTTCCTGTGCGACATAGAGTCCCCCCTTGCTAAGCCTCTGCTTCTTCATCTCTAGCAAAGAACAGCCATGCCTGGTGGGGTGCCTTGGGATTCAATGAGTTAAAGCTTTGATGGTGTTGTCCTGGACTCCTCTTTTTTTTCATGCCCATATTTCATTACCTAATAAATTCTGTTGGTTTGTTTTTAAAAATTTATCTAGAATGTGTCTCCTCCCATTTGTAAGGCCACACCCTACTCCTACCCACCTTATCTCTCGCCTCCTGATTGGTCTCGCTGCTCCTGTTCCTGCCACCACCATCTGTTTCTCTCGCAGCAAAGGCACCTGGGGACTCCGCCTCAGACTGTGTCTCTCCCTTGCCTGAGCCCCCTTGTGGCTCCATCACACTTGGGGCAAAAGCCAGTGTCCTCCCTGTGGACCGTGCCACATGAACTGCCCCCAGCACCTCCCTGCCTCACCTCCCATGGCTCTCCTGCCCACTCTGCTGTACATCTATCAGGCTACCCTCCGCGGTTTTCACTGGCTGTTCCCTGGGCCTGGGACTCTGCCACCCCCCTCGCCCCGCCCCCTACTCACATGGCTTCCTCTCCTTCAAGCCTCTGGTCAAATCTCACTACCTCAGTGACCCTTTCCTGACCACCTGTTTGAAACAATATTCTACCCCCACCTCCCATCCCCTTCCCTGCTTTATTTTCCTTTGCCATTTAGACTTTGTGACAAACACATGTTTGGTTATGTATTCTCTATTTCCTCCACCAGAATGTGAGCCAGGGCGTAGGAGTTTCTGCAGCCCCAGTACTCAATACACATTAGTTGCACATTTTAATTGGTGGAAGGAAGGAAGGAAGGAGAAATAAAGGTAAAATGCTTAACACAGAGCTGGCGCTGAGGGAGCAGGTAACTAATACCAGGGATGACAATGATTTAGGTGAATCAGATTAAAGCCCAGCCCTCAGAGCACCCGCTGCGAGGTGCACAGGAGACAGGCACGTATCGCTGGTTGCAACACCTGTGATATGTGACACGCACAGGAAGTGACAGGTTGCAGGGCCAGAGACTCCGGCTTCTGGGAGACAGAGCTGAGCAAGGCTGAGGGAGGACTGGGGTGAGTGCTCCCAGAAGCAGCAGCAGGGCCAGGGGTGGCTGGGGGGTCTGTGCAGAGATAGGGAGTGGGAAGCTGTGGGTGTTTGGATTCATTCATTAACGAATTTTATTTACTAAAGTCCTTCATCGCTCACATCAGCCAGAAATGGTTTCTGTTGATTGTAACCAAACACCGTGAAAGATCTGTGCACTTGCTATGATGCAAGTGCTGGAAGTACTGTGCTGGCCCAGATTCCCTTTTCCTCATTGTGAAACTTACGTTCTACCCAGGGAGGAAAAGGAACCCTGAAAGCATACCCTCAAGTGTAAGTCCAGTGTGGGATAGTAAATTGCTTTAGGAGAGGAGGTGACATTTGAACCAAAAGGTAGGGAGTTGGCCAAAGCAAAGACCAGAAGAGTGACCCAAGCAGAGGGGCCAGCAGGTGTAAGGCCCTGAGGCAGGACTGAGTGTGTGTGTTTAAGAATCAACCATGAGGCCAGGGTGGCTGCTGTGGATTGCCAGGTAACATAGGGATGCCCAGTTAAATTTGAACTTCAGATAAGCAATAAATACATTTTTAGTATAAGTATGTTCTGATTATTGCATAGGATATGTGTATCCTAAAAACATGACTTGGGGTTTCTTGAAATTCATTTCTAATTGAAATCCTATATTTTTATTGGCTAAGTTTTTATTGCAATCTGAGGCGTGAACAAGAAAGAAAGCTGAAGAGCTGAGGACAGAGGACATGGAGAGGGCAAAAGTTCTCGTCTGGCTCCTACGTGCACGCCTGAGGAGACAGCCTCTCTGAGGTCTATAGGGGTCCCACTCCCCAGGCAGTGGCTACACCTCCCAACCCCCCTCCTCCCTTCAATTACCTCCTTCCAGATCTTTGCTGCTTAATTTCAGCAAATTTAAAAGATGATAATATCCTTATTTTTCTTCAGGAGAGAAAAATAACACACTCAAATTCAATCATGCAAAAATCTAGGTATATAAAAGGCTAAGTGATCATCAATCAGCAGGTAGATATGATCCACACTGACCAGCAGGGGGCAGACACTCAATGCAGGAGCTGCTGAGCTGAAGTGATTAGGCAGCAGCAGTTCTTGGGTAACCCAGAACCAGAGAGAAGGGAGCCCAATTCCAGGGTCTGTCACCCAAGAACCACCCTCTCCCAATCTGGGATCACTTGGGGGATGGCAGAGAGTCACCTTCAGACCTATCCCTGCAGGCCAGTCCAAGGGACCCCACCTGCTGAAGGGGCCACAATCACTCTGCAGATGTCCTTCAAGCCACAGCACCTGGCCAGGGAGGGGGGAGGGACCACAGGAGGTTGGCTCCAATGTATGTCTGGCCCCATCCCCCCGCCATCTTGCTCAGTTCTGCCCCACCGGCCACCTCCTAATTAATATCCTTTCAATGTGCATGAATCTGTACACCAAAGTTAGTAAATAAATAAAATAGAACCAAAAAAATTCTGCCTGTCCCATTCCTAACAGCTTCTAACTTTAAACATTTAACTTTGTTTTCATTATAACCCTGGATTAAAAAAAAAAAAAAGAAAAAAAAAAAAAAAAAAAAGTAGAGCCCGGCCTGTGTGGCTCTGTGCTGAGTGTTGACCTATGAGCCAGGAGGTCACGTTCAATTCCTGGTCAAGGGCACATGCCCAGGTTGTGGCCTCGATCCCCAGTGTGGGGCGTGCAGGAGGCAGCCAATCAATGATTCTCTCTCATCATTGATGTTTCTATCTCTCTCCCTCTTTCCCTTCCTCTCTGAAATCAATTAAAAATATATTTTAACCGAAACCAGTTTGGCTCAGTGGACTCAAGGGTTCCGGGTTCGATTCCGGTCAAGGGCATGTACCTTGGTTGCAGGCACACCTCCAGTAGGGGGTGTGCAAGAGGCAGCCTGTTGACGACTCTCTCATCAATGTTTCTAACTCTCTATCTCTCTTCCTCTCTGTAATAAATCAATAAAATATATTTTAAATATATATATATATATATTAAAATGTAGATTCGA